GGTCCTGATCAAAAACAACACCAAGATTTTTTACTTTATTATCTGAAATCAGTTTAATCCAAATGCAGTGACTGAATAATCAGCTTCTTCTTCTATGCAGATGATTGTTTGATCTATCGGCCTTTAAAACAGAACGACATGTCCTCCATCTTTGTTTTCTGGGGCTGCTTGCATGTAGAAAGATAACTGAGGTCATGTTTGGGAGCCAATGAGGCAGCAGAGTTAAAGTTCTGTTATTAAATAAGGTAATTTTCCCGTTAATTCAGCTGCTGATGCATGACTCCATGATTAAACAACCTTTATAAAGTGGCATAAGCCAAATGCATGAACCATCTGTTAGCCTCGGGGGAAGTGTTTGCTAAAGGGATGGACATTCATCACAATTCTTCAACGTGATTGGTTGAATCACCAAGTGCTTCCTGTCTCCCATGTTGAGCTTTAGCCAATCGCAGCAGCAGTAAAATCTCTTCCATCCACAAAGGAAAACATGCCGTCCTTTTGCTCGTTTTTCAGAAACAACTAGAAGGTATTCCAGCCCGAAGCGGCCATGTTTGTTCTGCTTCAGCCTTCCTGCGTTTCATCGGTCCCAAACATTTGGTAGTCGAGTCTTTATGCTTCTGTTGGCTTCTGGCTACATGTAATAAATCCCACAACTATTATCCTGCTTAGAAGGTTATGGTTGTTTTTAGGACGTTTTATCAGGTAACTTAGGAATATTCGTGACCATCTAACCCGTTCCATTGGTGGGTTTGGAATAATCCCTCCTAACAGCAGCAGTTTCACAGGACTTGGATTTTACGGAGGCTGAACTCGGCCAGGACTCGTGTAGCAGACCTGGTTAACATGCCTTAATATTAGTTCTACTTCCTGTAACTTTATCTTCCTCTGTGTTCTCCTCTCATCTTCACCATCCTTCCTACATTGGAGGCAGTGAAAGCGGCCGCAGCACCCCCAGCTTATCCACTTACTCTGATGGAAAATCCCCGTCATCTACTTCTACGTACGTGGCTGCTCCTCGCCATTTCCACATACCAGGTAAGTTTTAGCCGCTCTGCTTCAAACTGGGCTCCTGTCCCCCTGGTGGGCAGAGCTAACTAGGAGCCGCTGCCATGTGCTTCTAGACAGGGTCCAGCAGGGCCCACTAGGGTCCAGCAGGGATCAGCAGGGACTAGCAGGGTCCAGTAGGGTCCAACAGCGGCCAGTAGGGTCCAGCAGCAGCCAGTAGGGTCCAGCAGCGGCCAGTAGGGTCCAGCAGAGGCCAGTAGGGGCCAGTAGGGTCCAGCAGAGGCCANAGCCAGTAGGGTCCAGCAGCGGCCAGTAGGGTCCAGCAGAGGCCAGTAGGGGCCAGTAGGGTCCAGCAGAGGCCAGTAGGGGCCAGTAGTGTCCAGCGGGGGCCAGCAGGGACTAGCAGGGTCCAGTAGGGTCCAACAGCGGCCATTAGGGTATAGTAGCGGCCAGTAGAGTCCAGCAGGGGCCAGTAGAGTCCAGCAGAGGCCAGTAGGGTCCAGCAGAGGCCAGGAGAGTCCAGCAGAGGCCAGTAGGGTCCAGCAGAGGCCAGGAGAGTCCAGCAGGGGCCAGTAGAGTGCAGCAGAGGCCAGTAGGGTCCAGCAGAGGCCAGTAGGGTCCAGCAGAGGCCAGGAGAGTCCAGCAGGGGCCAGTAGAGTGCAGCAGA